CAGCAAAACTGTCATATCAATTTGCATTACGATCCATTTTGAAGCACCAATTGTTTCCAAAAAAAAGAAGTTACATTTTTTGTGTTCCAACAGGAAAGATTGAATATCCATCAAAAATTTGCTTTCAAATAACACTTTAGTGTTTGAAACGAGCACGAAAAATTGCTAGTCGTGTGAGCAGCACTGCGTGGAAATAGACAGGTGACGTGCATGCTAGTCACGTAGCATGCTCGGAATAGTGTTGATCGTTAGCGAACCAAATGTCTTTTGCAAATGACTGGCATTCCATGTTTTACCGCAGAGAGGGAGCTCTAGTATTTGACTCATTTTTAACTCACGGAACTGAAGCAGAGAATCCAGATCACAGATAATATGTTAGTAGCACCCTAACAGGAGTCAGCAGCTGTTGCCCTACAGTGGTCCGATTTGGTTACTGTTCTGTGTTTTTCTCAAGCGCGTTTTTGACCAAAAAATTTTGCTCAATAATTTCCATAATACAACAGCTTTGTTGTGCAATAGCACCAAAGTTAGCAGATAGTAGGGCAGTGCATCGCTATGATGATAATGATAATGATGATGATGATGATGATGATGATTCCATGTCCAGTACTGCTGTGATAAATCTTCGTTTACTTCATCTCATTGTTATTAGCAGCACCTACACTATCACTACAGCTTGCTACTACAGAGACGCAAGCTAGCAACAGTTTTACGACCACAGGAATCGGCGAGAGAAAGGAACTGATTCATCGCTGTATGCTTCGAATATAAGCTTTTTCGTTGTCCTCCTAGACGAGCTTGGCTTCGTCCACTTGTATGTTGTAGCATGCCTTGCAAATAAACCTGACCTTATTTGCAAATTTGGACTGCACATAGGCGGATCCAGGGGGAGGGGGAAGGGTCGTTTACCCTCCCCCTCCGCAAGCGGCACAGGCACCAGTGCCGCGAAAGTCCAAGTCTAAAGCTAAAACTATGAAGCTTAAAGTAATTCTAAACTAAAGTAACTCTAAGTAGCAGTGTGTTACAACTCTATTCCTAGTTTTCGCATAGTTCCCACCAACCCCTGCCGACCCTCCCCCTCCTCCCCTCCCCGACAGTTCATCCTGAATCCGTCTACGGAACTGCAGCAGCCGACCTGCACTCCCCTCTTCCAGATATGTCATTGATCAAATCCAATCAATGACCTGCTATAGAAGAAAAACAGGTCAACCTGATTTTTATCTACAGACTCAGATTCGCTTTAATTTACATTTCTTTGAAGTCCTGTGTAGTCAGTTTTTATGCCTTTTTTGCAGCTATGCAATGCAGAAAACGCATATTGACGAGGGGTTGTTTGTGTGTGTGTGTG